AATGAATGAACCTGAATGAACCTGAATAAACCTAAATGAATGGAAAAATCTTATTTATTTAATTAATTTAAATGAAAATAGAGAAACGCAAAGAAGCCGACCGGTCGGCAAAGAAAAGAACCGCAAAGAACGGTATCTATATAGGATTTATGCTCTATATAGGATTTATGCTCTATATAACTCTATATAACTCTATATAACTCTATATAACTCTATATAACTCTATATAACTCTATATAACTCTATATAACTCTATATAACTCTATATAACTCTATATAACTCTATATAACTCTATATAACTCTATATAACTCTATATAACTCTATATAACTCTATATAACTCTATATAACTCTATATAACTCTATATAACTCTATATAACTCTATATAACTCTATATAACTCTATATAACTCTATATAACTCTATATAACTCTATATAACTCTATATAACTCTATATAACTCTATATAACTCTATATAACTCTATATAACTCTATATAACTCTATATAACTCTATATAACTCTATATAACTCTATATAACCGCGCAAACTCTATATAACCATGCAAACTACCACATTCAATCAATAAAATTCCCACTAAAACCAGGAACCACAGCGTACCTGTTGTATGTATGATGTGAAACAAAACAAAAAAAAACACAAAACGAAAAACACACCGCCAAGTAAGAGTAAAAGAATAGAAGTCCCTAACCTACCTATGTAGCTAAATTACCTTACGCCCTAGCCTACCTATATAATAAATTAATCTCAATCTCACCTGCCTATGTTTCATTAACTTAACTCAAGACTCATGAAGAAAGAGAAAAAGGAGTAAAACAGAACATAAAATATTACCACACAAACAAACATGATGTATGTATGTGTGTATGAGCAACCGCTAAAGAACCCACCTAAAATTAAAAAAATACAAAATACAAACATACAAACCACAGACAAACATATATAGCCCGCGCAGCTCTATATAATAAAATAAATAAAAAATAAATAAAATAAATGAGATCAGGCAGACCGCTTCAAGCCTTAGGCGAGGCAGAATGCCTGATCTGATTTTCATGTTTTCTCAGCTCCTATTTATACTCGTTTCAACCATACATTTCCATCATTTCAATCATTCACATCAGTAAAAAACTTATTTAATGTATGAACTACACTATTATACAGTTTTAACCACAATGCTAACCGTACTAAATTGACGTCATCGATCGAACGCCTTCGAAACTTTCTGATTGGCTGGTTGAATCTGCTATATTGCTTTTTATATAAACATATAATCTTATTAATTATATATATATATGTGTGTGTGTGTATATATATTTAATATAAATTTATTATAAAATTATAAAATCAGTGCTACATATTAGTTTGAGACCACACCTTGCTTAACATCCGATTCCAAGCCGAGCCAAGCCAAGCTGAGCCAATATGCGTAGATTTGTAAGCACTTTTATATTATAATTTTCCTCGCTTTATATAGGAATATCCCAATGTAACAAATTCTCCATCCTATTTTAAAAATTTTCATTGATGCTTTTTATCAGTCAGGTCACAATCATCATCATCGATATCGCGATGAAATCAAATTGAAAATTTTTTAAAACTTGTTGTATATGTACGCACGCAGTTCAAATTTTTCTGGGAGAATTCAAAATAGTTTGAGACCTCACCTTGCTTAACTTAACATCCAATTCCAAGCCGAGCCAAGCCAAGCCAAGCTGAGCCAATATGCGTAGATTTATAAGCGCTTTTTTATCAAAATTTTGCTTGCTTTATAAACGAATATCCCAATATAACAAATTCTCCATCCTATCACAAAAATCATTATCGATATCGCGATGAAATAAAATCGAAATTTTTTTTAAATTGTTGATAACTAGTAACTAGTATATATTAAAAAGTTCAAAATAATTTGAGACTACAGCATAACACAATTGTACAATTTGAATGTGTAAATACAACATTATTAATGTATTATAACTACGCATATATATCTATCCATTTCTTTATTTAGTTCTGCTCATTGCTCATTAATTCCATGGTTCTGCTTGCGTATGATATTTGGTCAAATTTATTTGATAGGAATTGAATATAACCTTAATACCGGCTGATAAACTACCATGCAGTAAAATAACTACTGTTAACAAGACGTCATTTCCTCCAACGATTTCGCAATGATATCGAATTGAGAATTTTTTTAATTTTTGAAAAATTATCTTTATTCATTTTATGATACTACTTTGTTCAATAAGATACCGTTTGATACATATAACTAAAATAAATATATCGGCCTTCACTCACTTTCATCAGTCGAACATGGAGCTTACTTCTGGAGGGGAGTTGGAGGGTGATTTTTTATCGTTCGAGTCAAAAGTTACGATCGTATATTTACCATGATATTTACTAATTATGGAATATTGTTTTTATTTAAAATGTTAAAATTTTAATATTTTTTAATTGTTATTCAATGTGGTAATTAATTACTTTTATTTGGTATAAATTTAAAATAATATAATCGACATTACCGAAAATAATTAAAAGTTGAAAAAATTGAGATTCTTTGCCTATTCCTGCTTCAACCCATAAATAGTGTTGTGTATTGCTAAACAGGCCCCCCATGAAGTTTACTTTTAATCAGAATAAACGAGCCAGTTGTCGGTAAAATTATTTGTCGTAACACCACTATTTAAATTCAAGTTTTCGCCCGATTAGTCGTAAAACGGTTTATATTTTATTACAAAATTACATATAAGACTTATAAGTGCATGTGTATTTTATTACATATAAGTGTAATAATTCATCTGATTTCTGACCAGTCTAAGACTGCTGCTATTGCCCTTCTCCTCATCAGAATGGCCAACTTTTTGGTAAAACGGGAGATAGGTACTCCTATGTCATCGTCCATGTTTACAAACTATCATAATGTACTTTTAATAAATTGACTCCGCCCATTTTAAATTAAACTCTATATACCTATCTCCCGTTTTACCCAACTTTTTTTACTATATTTATTTAATTAAATTTTAAATAGTTAAAAATAAAATAAGTAAATGAATTATTAGTGCTCAAGATTAGTGAAATAATTGTGGTTAAGTTAATCGTTAATGACTGCTGGCTAGAAGGAGCCAAGCTGGCTGATCAGGTGTTTTCTAGAGTTTTTTCTAACAGTTAAAAACTAAAAATTTGTTGGAATCATTGATGAAATATGGAAGGTACTCTTTTAAAATGGACCAATTATTTTAATGGTTGGGTGATTGTTCCTTATATAAATATATATTCATATTGATTTCTTTATTCAATTGCTTAATATTTTAGCAAAGTTGCATTTACTTAGTATTTTAGAACAAAATGAAAATTTCAGATGAAATTTTTATGTTTTTAACGTTTCAAATCCATTCATTTTGAAATACAATGCTTACATAAATATCTAGGTTGGCAGCCGAGATATTTTATTCTGGAAGATGGCGTACTCTCCTATTACTACTCGCAAGATGACATCAACAACAGTTGCAAGGGTTCCATCAAAGTTGCAGCATGTGATATTAATGGTTTATTTTTTTTAAACTCTTTTTTATTTCAACTTTTATCTAAAAAGCACATTTGATATTATGACAAAATTGATATTGACCAGCTCACAGTTCTGATCCTACTCGACTTGATATTGTTGTCCCTGGCGAGGCACATTATCATTTGAAGGCAGCCACACCGCATGACAGACAGTTATGGCTTGTTGTTTTAGGAACTTGTAAGGCCTGCAACAATAATGCTGGCTTTCTTATTGGCAATCAAGGTTTTGTTATCTTTAATGATCCTCATTCTCCATTTAACATCATAATTTTTTATTTTATTCATCATTTCTCCTTAGATAAATTTTTCCTTAAAACTGCAGCTAAGAATGATGCTGAAATTTCATCACATGATAAGTTAAAACTAAAGAAATCTGAACTACTCACCTATTATGATATTCTAACTCAGCACACTTACAACATTAAAATGGCAATTAAGGATAAGACCAACCTCGACATTCAGGTAGATATTTTTATATTTGTTTGTTTTTCTATACTAAAACAAATACATCATATAAATCAAATTTATTATTGAATGTTAACTTATTATCTTTGTTCACTTTTAGTTATTAAACGATTCAACAACGTTGATTGGTGAGACTTGTGAAAGTTTTGTAAAGAGTTTGGACGAATGCCTGAGATTGGTTGAGACAAGAAATCACTCATCATCATCATTCTCATCATTTCAGAGCAGCCCTACGACACTTAAAGTACCTTCATTCATTCATTCATTCATTTTTTCATTTTTATCCATCAATTATTGATCAATCTATATATATATATATATATATATATATATATATATATATATATATATATATATATATATATTGGTAATAGACCATAATTTTTACAATATTCTGTAAATTCTACCGAATGTTTGGCGTTAATTTGTTTGTAGTTCGTTTTTTCAATTTTTCTCACTAAAGTTTTTTGGTGAACGTTTAGTTTATTAAAATTCAAAATAAACTTATTTTCCGAATTCATGCTGCAAATAAGGCCATATTTCGATTTCAAATGAATCATCATCAGAGCTTTCTGCTGTTTATATGGGGAAAAATTGACTTTGTCAAAATGAACTTAGATGGAGATTGACTTTGTCTAAGTCTAAACTTTATATATATATATATATATATATATATATATATATATATATATATATATATAGAGAGAGAGAGAGAGAGAGAGAGAGAGAGAGAGAGAGAGAAACACAGAACTAAAATTACTAGACAAATTTTTGACCCCAATGTTGAAATCTTACATTACAATAACAACCTTTATAATTTACGACTAGCCATATCAATACTCATAGAACAAAGACATCCGATAATAAATATTCAACAACCGGCAATTGGAATTGTTCCTACCAATAATTTTAGAAATAAAGGAATCGTCAATAATGAAAACTCGTAAAAGTGTTATATTTAACGAAGTTGGAAGTTGTAAAACTAGTTAAATGAGCGTTAAGTATACACTTTAAACAAAAAAGGAATCAGCAAAGTGGAGTAGAGACGCAGTTTATATATATTTGAGCAACTAGGCACATGCACAACATATCAATTTGAACACCGAAGATGGTATTGGAATAACGAAAAAAGCTTTTTTGTTCTTTCATGCATTAAATAAACAAAAATTTTGGTTTTGATACTTGAAAATGATTTACGATCAACCGTTAGAAAAGTCGAAAAGTTAAATTGGAAGTTAACTAACGCCGAACATGCTGTGATTTTCATCAATAATCGCATATTGCAAATGTTTGAACCAGTAGTTATGCGCTTATCAATGTTGTCTTGCTTGAACTTTATTCCTTTCATTTTTTCATTGATTGTTTTTCATGAAATTTTTGTGAAAATGATTGAAATTTTGTTAACAATGATGTAGAATTCATCGTGGGGTTCTCAACCTCTTCCAAGGCATTCTGCATCTATCGACAGGTTTCTGTCTTTTTTTTGTTCATTTTTTATTCTCGCTCTTCTCACACCTTTTCTCTCTCTCTCTTTCTTTCTCTCTCTTTCTTTTTGTTCATCACAAATTCTTAAATTTATTTAAGAACCAATAATCTAAAAATTGTGAGACTGGCAAGAAACAATTAATTAGTTAATCCCATGGCAGAAAGAGTTTATCAAGAGGAGCGTCAAAAGAGAAAGAACACTTTCCCTTGTCGTCTGCTGCTGCTGCCGCCGCTGTTAATTCCGCACATCACAACAACAACGTTTCTGACTTCTATAACGACGACGACGATGATGACGTCATTGTCGATGATGCAATCAACAAATTGTCCACGTTAACCTCGTCAGCTGAATTTTATTATAACTCAGTTGATAAGGGCAATAACGATAATTTTAATAGCATTCACACATTAAATGCATTGAACAGCAGTTTAAAATTGAACAAACATAACATCTCGTCGTTTTCATTATCGTCGTTGCGTGATGTACACAACGTACAACACATCCCTATCTCCCCAACCACTGAAAATGTTCATGTGTCTTACCATCGGGACAGACCTGCTGACGGGGAAGTTAGTGAAGATAGTGGTCGTCCTGCTAAGCTGTCTACCTTCTTTAGTCAGATGCCTGTCAGGTTCGTAATGTTAAACTCTTCTATTTTTTAAGAATACAGGACTGAATGAATTGAAATAAAACTAAAATAATGTATAATGAAAGTAACTTAAATAATGAATTTGAATAGTCATTTGAGAATGAGTGCAATGATGAATCATTAATTTAAAAATTCGACAAACTCTTATTTCTATCACCACAATATATTATATGAGAGGAGAGTGTCGCACATTTAATCAAACTGCATCTGAGATGGTCAGACTCAAATAATTCCAATTAGAGATAGTCTAAAAGAATTTTAAAAGCCTTTATATTTTTCGATTTTTGAATACTTGAAATTGTTGCGGTGTAGTAAAAATAATAACATTATTGTTATTATTAATCTTAATGTTGGGTATAAAACTTATGATAATATCACAACGAAATTATATTTGAAACACAAACGAAAAAGTTTTGCAGACTTGAAATTGACGACAGACTCTCAAATACCAACAACGACCTTCCTTGATGCTTGCAAATCTTTTCTGCATATATTCGGCTAGTTTTCCTAATTTATTATATTTTATGGAGAGAGAAAGAAAGAGAGAAATAAATAGGTAGAGAGAGAGAGAGAGAGATATCAATATTTTTATATTTTACACACTTTCTCATTGGTTAACGCTTTTAAATTGATTCAATCTACTTTCATATATTGTAGATAAGTTAAACCAGCCCGCCTTCCTTCCAGCAAAACTCGACATGTCTTCCAACATAAAAGTTAGTACAAATTTTTTCATATCTAATTTAGTTTTTTCATTATAAAATTCAAACTTTAAACTTAAATAATGACGCAAATAACAACATGAAAATTGATTTTTCTTTATATTAACTTTTTTATTAATATAATAAAATTACCTAATCAGAAAATTCATCAGAAGTATCTGAACAATCCTGTGAAATGTTCAACCATACAAGACATCGTCCGTTATGAGATATCCGCCAACCAATCAAACAACGCAAATTCAGCCACTCAAGCAATTCTCTGGCTAACCAAGTCATTTTTTATTCGTTTAGTTTTCTCTCTTTCCATATTTCATATTTTGTTCGTTCGTTTGTTTGTTTTTTCATTATTTATAAGAATAATGTCTGATCACTTGTAAGGACAGGTCGCTAGAATTTGTGATGAGGTTGATGGAGGAGTTGATTAGCAGACCAGAAGAAGAAGACATCAAGACAATAATTTCACAAGTTTACAAGAATGTTCTCATGAGTTATCATGGATGGGTTCTTAGAAGCGCCTTTTCAGTAAGTTTTTTCATTTTAATCCGTTTCATAATATTGCTTTTTATGTTATCTTATTCGTATTAAACAAACTTTTCAGTTTTAAACTCACTCTGAAGGATAATTTAAAATTTTTAGATAGCTTCATCGTCGTCTCCCTCCAAGGAAGAAATTATTCGATGCCTTTGTACAGATAGCAATCAATCAAATAAGGCAGTTTTAAATTCATTGGTGAAAGATTCAGAGGATTATATCAGTGGCTTGAAATCTATAATTAACCTGCTTCAATCGTACTTTCAAATACACAATTTGCATATTGATATTGATGAATCTATATAATGTTAATCTAATTTTTTGTTTTGTTTTGTTTCCTTTCTTAATTCATTCATTTCCATTTTTCTCGACATCTTAAACTTACATATTCATTTGTTGGATTGGATTGAATTGTAGTTTTCTAATCGCACGTATACACACATTATTTATTCCGTCTAATTTGTTTTTGTTGAATTTCTACTGTATTCTGTCTGGTATTGAATTTTTATAAAGCTTTTTGTAATATTTTTCAATGAAACTTTGTGGTAAATATCAAATTATTTTCCAGTATATAAATTTCGTATTGAAAGGTAGTGAAAGGTCTTTCAAAATATAAAATTTGATAATAAGAATTTGACAGTTTTTTTTTTATAAAACTAACGTTTAGATCTTTATCAATATTTTCCTTAGTAATTAAGTGTCAAAATTGACTGCGTGGGATATATAAAACAAGTTAACCGCTATAAAATTTTTAGTGTTCTGAAATTTAGTTATTCCGGAAAATAAACATTTTGGTCCTTTTGCATATGTCTTGTCGTCGGTTCGTTGTTTTGTTTTATATCTGTTCTGATCCGTATTAATTTTATCATTAAATTCATTTTATTTAATTTTTATGGCATCTTTGCACCATACGCTTTTTTTTACAAACTAAAATTAAATGAATTTTTCTTTTGCTATTTGCCCATTTGATTTAATTTGATTAAGTTATTTTTCTAACCATTCAGACATGGTTGACACGAAAAAAACAAAAAAGGCGGCTAGGCCGGTCACCGTTCTCCCACTCACGAAACCTCGCAAGAAAGTAGCTCACGTTGTTGAAAAACAAGTCAACGGGGACAAGAATGGAGGCAAAAGATTGGTGGTTGTACGAAGACAGCCAAGGTATTTGAACACTCAGGACAAGCCATGGAGAATGAGATCCCACAAGAAACCGTTCTCTCAACATAAACGTTACTTGAGAAGTTCGATTACTCCAGGAACTGTTCTCATCATGGTTGCTGGTCGTCATAAGGGAAAAGTCAGTAAGCTGAGTTATTTAATATTTAATATTTTAATTTTTTAAAAGTTATTGAAAAACATTAATTCTTTTTATACGCTGCATTGTTCTCTTATGTTTGCAGAGAGTTGTGTTCTTGAAGCAGCTTAAATCTGGATTGCTCTTAGTTACTGGTAAGAAATGCTTTTTTCATATAAATTGTATTTTTACTAATCTAGTGATTGTTTTAAAATTTTCAATGACACATTTTTAGATTTTGGTTATTTGTATTTAGACCTTGAATCACTTTGCCCATTTAGGACCATACCATTTAAATGGGTGCCCCTTGAGAAGAATCAACCAGATTTATGTAATCGCCACAAAAACCAAGTTGGATATTAGTGCAGTTAAAATTCCTGAGCGATTAACTGATGATTATTTCAAGAGGAAGACACTGAAAAGACCGAAGCACACTGAGGGTGAAATTTTTGACACCAAGAAGGAGGTAGTGTAGCACCTACCCAATTATTTATGTCTTAATATTCGTTTACATTAAAAAGCCTAACATGCGAAATAATTATTTCTAATTCATTTACATCATCAATTTTTAATTTATATTAATTAAATACATAATCACTTACTTTATTTCGAAACAGAAATATGCGGTGACAGAGGAAAGAAAGAAGGATCAGGTTGATGTCGATGGGCAGATCTTACAGGTTGTCAGGAACCATCCTGACAAAAAATTCCTTTTTGGATACCTTGGTTCACTTTTTTCATTGAAGAATGGTGAATATCCACACAAACTCATCTTCTAAAAAGTTTACGAATGTTACTTGCACTGTTAACTAATTGACAGTTTATTGTTTTTGAGTTTTTTTTTTTTTTGAAAAAAAAACTCAAAAAAGAATTTTGTTTGTACATTGCTTTACGTGAACTACAGTAACTGAGGTAATCTTTTTTGGTTGGCCATATCGAGTGACAACAAATATATAAAAGCACAGATCTGTAAAAGATCTAGACACAGATCGGCTGTGAAATTTGTACATTTTTAGATTTAAGTTTGCGTAAATTGTTAGATCTGTATAGTTTCAAATGGAATATAGGGAATGAAAATGCATTTTTTGAGTGAGGGCATTTACAAATTGCTAAATAAGTAAAGCAAATGAAATGTACTTTGCAAAAAATTTATATGTCAACGACTGCAACTACACATTCAGAGAAAAAACTTTGATGCAATCGTTCTGATGACTGGTGGATACAATCACAATATAAATAATATGTACAACAACAAAGTTTGCTGTAAGAGTAAGCATTAACATAATTGATAATATACTGTAAATGATAAATATTGATTTTAGGTACGCGCGAAAACTAGAAAAAACGTTGGGCTGACTAAGCTAAAAATGTAACAAAGTCATCGCATTGTGGGATTAATTCCAAAAATTTCCAATAAATATCGATATGCATGGTGATTACACGGAGATTAATAAGATGTTTGTCGTGCATACGTAAAACATTGAAACAGAAATAACTGCAAAAAACAACCAGACAGTAAAATTATTGCTAATATCATATGAGTAATCGAACTCATCATCTTTGAACAAATTTTACATCACACTACTTTTACTAGTTTACTACTGCTAAAAGTACTCATGGTAATACTAGTGGAATGGTTGAGGTCATCATGTTTCGTACACCAGAGCTTGTTTTATATCAGCATTAATGTATGTTTGTTCAAGCTGCATGGAGAGATGAATGACACAAATTGGTTGAATGGATGATGTCGTGAATGTACAAATATTTAAAAATCCTGTATTAACGAGTGACATAGCTCAAAAACAAGCAGTAATTAGCTTTTGGTATGGTACAATTTCATAAAAATGAAGGGAGAAGTAAAATAATATCTGCAGTGTAGCTGTAGGTGCCTTGTAAAAGGATATGACAAAAAATAATTGAGTATCATGTTTCATCAACAAAAAATTTTAAAAAAAACTTAACTCGACAAATGAATTTCAATACGACAATATGTCAATAAAATAAATATGAAAAAATATAAAATGAAACGAAATAAAAAGAATACACAGCAACAAATAAAACAAAACAAGGAAGTGTGGACTAGAAAATATTTTCACAATCTTTGAATGATCGCCCCCAGTACAAACCAGTGAACAACCATTCATCGTTGCCTGACATCTCGTCCTTACCCCATTTGAACCACCTACAATTAGGAAAAATAGGGATGCACTTTGAATAAATTCTTATATTATAAGTGTTAAAAATCAGAAATGTCAAACAGAATTGTACGATAACGGTGAAAAAAATGTTACAGTATGCAGCAAGAATGAGAGTTGTACACAAATTTGTACACGTTCACATTCACAAACTATACACAAACTTGGCTTCATTATCTTTCTTATGAATTTTTCTGTCTTTCATCATTGCTCTCTGTTTCTCTTCTATTCTTGTCTTCTCGGAGGCAGCTTTTTCTGTCATGATAGTAATCACTCATCAATCATTTATCAAAACAAACAATCAATCAATTATTTAACAAAATTAACTAATCAATCATTTATCGAATCAATCTATCAACCAACCATTGAATCATTTCTTACCAGCCAACCAGCTAACCAATATCTCCTTCTTCCATGGCTCTTACATCAGGTCTGAATCTGGAATCAGTTGGGGGCAATGGTGACGATGATGATGTCGTTGGTGGTGATGATAGCTGGGGAGGCAGTTCATTCAAGGTCATTGCGAATTTTGTAAAGTTGTAATACTGTTAAAGTAAGACAAGGAAAATTAATTATTTTCTGTCGAACATAAAAAGCAAACACAACAAAGAAACATAAAACGTACAACAAAAGAACAAAATTGAAATAATAACAACAATTAACAATGAAATTGAATAATATTGGTAACCATGCTTGAGTTTTGAGGTCTGGGTGTTGCCTCCCACAAGCACTTCTGATTAGTCAGATTTAAATTAGAAGACGAACCTCTGCTAGGAATGACCTCAGATGGGGACTGCCAATCAAATAGACATTAAATAAATTATTAGGTTAGATTAGGTATTTTATTTTAAATAACGTTTGCTTTGCTACCTTCACAAGATTGAATGGCGACGGTGATCTTCTGATGGTTTTGATGTAAGCCTCGTAAGTGCCAATGTCGTAACTGTACAATGCATCCAACCACTTGCCGTAGAGGGCTCTCGTCTTCTTCTGACTGTTAAAATTATTTTTCATTAAAGTAACTGGTCATTGTTTGACATAATTTGTTAAAATTATCGTCAAAATAACGACTAATTAATAATTAAATGAATGAATAAATTGTGTGTAATCATTTTATTTTAGAGTAAAAAAACGTAAGAGATTAAAATATAAACCTGGAATCATAAAGGAATCCTTCAACTTTGTGCACATCCCTACCTAAAAAGTCAGCTGACTTGAAGTTCAGTGTGCATTTCAAATTCTTTGTCCTATTTGTCACTTCCATTGTTCCAGACTGGATGTAATAATAATTTTAAATTCATTCATTCAACTATTAGCAGTTGATCACGGTAATGAATGACTATAAAGATGTATGAATGAAAATGTCTGAAACTTACATGTTCAATCCAGAGCTTGCCCACAAAGATATTGTTGACAGAACAGTTTACATTGTGCCACGTATATATTTCTTTATGCCTGGTGTTTTGTTGAAATAATTTCAGAATTATATAACCCTTAGTTACATGGAGAATTATATTGAATAAGTATGAAAAAACAATAAATCTCCAGTACTTATAAGTAAATAGTTAACATACACCAATTCAAAATTAACAAAACAAACTACCACATCTCTGCAAACTTTTTCAAATAAAGGGTAATGGTTCCTTTGGGCGTGACTTCAATGGACTTCCCCCAGAATTTCATCTTAGGTTGAATGGAGCCGTGAAATGTAAAGTGGTCACCCTCGCCGTGGAAAGCACTGACCGGAGGATGATGACTCACCTGTTCGCAAACTATTCGAAAACCCATGTCTGGTCTGTTGGGAGTATATTTCAACATACATATTTGCGATAAATACAAAGTATCCAACATTAGAATGTTCATTTTCATTAAAATGTTAAGATAAAAGAAGCAAAATACTCATCATAAAAAGAAAGATTAATAACACTAAGAATCATTTTAAAAATTTCTAAGGAAAAAATTTTTCAAGAAATTTTTTCAAATAGAGCAGTGAATAATTAGAAGAGTAATGATTGAATAGCCATAACTGGCATAAAACGATTTGATTAAAAATAATAACCTATCCAATTCAAATGTTTCTCCAAGTAAAGGATTGAATGGCTTACCAATTCTTTCCCAATTTGATGAAGTTGCTGAGACTGCAAATGCCGTCACAAGCTTTATTCAAACCAAATGATTGCAATTTTCATTAATTTGTTTCTATTTACCATTCTCTACTTTATATTCAATTGAATAACAACAGTTTTATTAACAAAAACGTGGTTAAGAATACCAAGGGTACTGTTCTGTTTTTTTTCTAAATTGACGAAACACTCAATTATTTTTGGAAATGTGAAATGGTTAAATAGTAGAAAAATAAAGTAAAAATATTAAATATGTATAACGAACCAAACCACAAACAAACTTTTTTTTATTTATGAACAAAATAGATAAAAAAAAACTAAAAGAAACAAAATAAACCAAATAAAAATAATCATAAATATAGTAATAAATGTTCTGGTAAACATGCAGACGACTCCTGTCATACTTCAAGCCTCTCAATAGGATCATTTGATTGGTGGGCAGAGAGAAGAAGATTAGAATATTCCATATATTCAACCATTCTTTGAAGAAAACTTAATGGTTCGTTCAACACTACTGGCATTGTGATCTTGGATAATTCCTTAAAAAAAAAATTCAATCTTAAGACAGAAAAAGACACACAATAAATAAGATAGTCTAACATTTAATCAAAATTCATTCAAAAACTTTTATCAATTTTAAAAAATTCCAACTAGCTACTAGACTAGACCTTTCCAATGCACTGCTTGAGAATGCTGATCACGTTCACATCATTTCTTTCATACATCGGAGCAGGCAAACAAGTTCTAAATGATTAATTAGCCATTTTAGCAGTGCATTATCAAATAAAATAAAAAAGGAAACGACCCCAAAAAAATAAATAACCTACCTGTGCTTGAACGAGTTTCCTTCTCCGGATTTGTGAGTAGAACCATTTTCTTCGTCGTCTTCGTTCTCGATGTGGAAATCAATTAATTTGTTAACAATAGCCATAATTTTGAATGGAATTAAAACTTTTGGAGATTTAAAATCAAAATAAGTGTGTTACGATATCAGAAATTATAAATTAAACAGGTTTTTGTTAAAAATCATTTAAATTTAAAATTCAAATGAGTATGTACCTATTCAGTCGGTATTTCCAACATTTAATAAATTGTCATTCATTTCTTATTTTTTTATGTTATTTATGAATTTTTCTATTAAAAAATTTAATTTTTAGTAACTTAAATTAAAAAAGTTTAAATTGTATAAAGCATATATATTTTATTAAAGTTGTGTTTTCTGGTGACCTAAACTGTAAACTCGAATCTAATCGATTTAGTAGTTGAGGAACAGCACTAATAGATTTACTTTTAAATTTAAAATTAAGTACTCGAAACAATTAAAAACAGTTGCATTTGCAAAAAATTAAATGCTCGAAATAATTTTTGCATTTTACCATTGAAATGCAGAAATAGAATTTTTTTAATTTGGATCAACCACGAGCTATAACGTATTGATAGATATCTACACGAAATTTTACGTTTATGCCTTATGATGATTGAATTGAACGACATAACTACCAATAATCACTTCTCACGCTTTGCCATTATTTTTACAAATTTTATAATTTTTTCTTAGTATAATAAAAGAATATGGTTTCAATGAACCCATTGCAAACATTAAACTAGAACCATATTTCATCACAAATCTTCAATATAATACATTAATTTTGTTTCAAATTTAAATAATCAGTTGACTTTGTATGCATATATATATCCATGGTTGTATGCTCAAACAGTTTACAACGAAAATTGCCACCTATTTACGTGCAGATATAATTCATCATTGAGATATAATTATATTATTTTGTTTCTGGCTTCAACTTACCGCAATTATGAATCATCCGCATAGAGATGCTATGAAAGAAGAATTGAAGAGGAAAGAACTTGAACAAAATTTGATTTCAGCTGAGGATAGATTGGATGAAGTGGGGAGGAACGAGGTGGATCGTTCCGAGCAAATTTGGCAGAGTGTTTTCTTCTTGAACCTCTTCATGATTTTTCTATGTCCTTCAGGTGCTTTCCTCATAACGTTCGAACATTCGAAAGTTTATGATAGTTTAACGTTACTGGACAACTATGACGACGGTTCATTTTTCACACTGATGCTCGTTGTATGCATCATTTGCTGTATGGTTAACATCATGGGAGCCTTGATAACTTGGGTGGCTATCAATAAGGCGAGGAGAGGAAGAATGAGATACATGATTTATGCTTTCGTGGCCTGGATGGCCGCCTGCATTATCATACTTGGAACTACTCTCGTACAGATATTTGCCCTGTTTCTTAGCTTAGCTACAATGTTCAAGGTCTGTGCATTACACTTACCAAACATTAAATATATCAATCAAAATTGTTGAATCCGAAAAATAATGATAACTGTTTAAAAGGATGGATTCGCAATGAATATGATGTTATACGGAAGAGTTCCTGAAATAGCTCATAAAATTCACGACTTTCAGATTGAAGGAAAATGTTGTGGCAGTTTCAATTACACTGAATGGTTTGCAATAACTTGGTCCAACATCATTTCGAAGACCACGTTGAATCTGCCTGTTAGCTGCTGCGATCTCGGCAACTACACAATCGACGAATGTATCATGGAATCTAGATTCGATGTAAGTTCGCCGGAATTAAGAGTGAAAATGATTTATTAATTGTAATAATTTCGATTTTTAGTATTCTTATATTGAAATATTATAAAATAGAGACCTCAGGATCTGACAGTTTCAAACAGAGGGTGTGTGAATACATTGGAATGGTACTTCAAGTACATTTTGATCTTAAGCGTCTGCACGATGGTCACCATGTTTTTCATGGAGTTTGTTATTTTTATGATGTCACTCATTAACCTGCCGAGCATCAAGAGTTACGAAAACTTGCTGATAGAGGAAAGAATCAGAATGATGATGAAAAGGTTGGCCGTTCACAGACAGCTAACAGGAGCCGATGAGGAAGAAGAAAATAAAGATGATCTCGCCGATTAATTTTTTTCTATCTTTGTGCCGAATGACGTCGAAGATGGCGCGCACGATCAATTAATATTTTTGAAATTTTCAGTTACATATTGACAGTTGTAAGGTTGTAAGTAAAAATTTATGCGCTTCTTCAGATGTTTTGAAACTTGCCGTACGATTTACCTACTGTTTCACGTTTAAAATTTTTAAAGTAGTAATAACATGGCAGTGAACGTTGGCGTCGTTAATTACTCACAAAATGCAAAAGAGGAAGAAAGCAGCAGCGAGGACGAAGACAAAAGAGGTAAGAGCAGGCATAAAAAAGTAGGAGACAGAAAGAAACCGAAGCGAACTCCGGTTGAAAAAATATTTAGAGTATTTTACAGGTTAGACGAACAGAACTATCCCACCCTGTGGACAACCCAGTCTTACATCCATATAGTCGAAGCATTCGTACACCTGGTAGCGGCATGTTTTCTCGTTGTTTTGTACCTCTTTTCTGCCAAGTACGTCAGTCTGTATGAAGGGTACAGTGGGGCCTATCAGGATATTTTAATGATGGCCCTCTCCGCTTCAGGCACTCCAATCTCCCTACTGAGTGGCCTCCTCGTTTGTTACTCCATAACTCAGAAGAGGTTGGGCCGATGTAGGTTCAACATCTTCTTCGCGACAGGATCCTCTGCCGTGCTAGCTTTGTCTTCTCTCATACTTACTGCTGTTAGTCTCGGGTCGTTCCTTACTGCTGCCAACATTTTTAAGGTTTGATGTCATTTGTTTTGTTTAAAATTTATTTAAAATATCTAAAAATAATCAAATTTCGCACGAACGTAGGCTGGGTTTTATCAGAACATGAAAAAGTTCCACGCAGATCGGTCGGTTAAAGAAAGCATTGTACAATTGCAGGAGAGTTTTGAATGTTGCGGCAACACGAACTATACAGATTGGTTCACGATTGGTTGGTCGCCTTCCATCACCGCTTCCAAGGTCGGACTGCCACTGAGCTGCTGTAAGAGGCAGGGTACCAATCCCTGCTTTGAATTCGTTGAATTGGAGGTTTTATTTTATCTATTTAAAAAATTTATTAATTTTATTCATTCAAATTAAGATCAAAGTTTCAAATATTCTTCTCCTTATTTTCACATTTCATTTTAATTTTCACTAAGTTTATTAAAATTGTTAATGGACATAATAAGAAAGATGGTAATACAATTGTGACAATGGTGATGATGATTTTGAAGATGGTTGATTGATTTAATATTTCCAAAAGCATTATTAATAAACTCTTTTAACCTCTTAACTTCAAATAAATTTTTGACAACCGGTATATTGGAAACAAATATTTTCAAATGTATTTCAAATGAACAAAAAATAAATCTTCCACGACAGGAGTTGAATTCATTGACGCCATACCACGAGGGTTGCAACGGGAAGGTGCAGACGCAGTACGTAACGTACACGCTGATATCTGGCTCACTGTTTGCACTTTCGTTCATCATCGATATCCTATCCACCGGCCTCTCATACACAAACTCAAAATCTGCTCTCTCTCATGAGAACTTAATTTTTGAAGATCGCATGAAAATCATCCCGCAAAAGCTCAGAGCCAACAGGTTGATGAGAGCCAAACGAAATAAAATAATGAGGAGTTAATTATTCACTAACTTTCGTAGTTGTAGAGTTTTATTTTTTTAATAAATCATCTGTTGCGATCATAAAAAAAGAACTCTGAACAAAAATAAACCAGTTGTTTGTTTTTACGCGCAGATCAAATGTAACTATTGTAAACAGTTCAGAAGTGTTGAATCGATAAAAATTTCTGCTATAATTAGGCATGGGCGATGAGAAGGATGATGACGGAGGCGGTAGTGAGGGTGAGGAGCAGCCGAATGTGCAAATAGTTTCGAACTTGCCTGTGAATGAAAATGAAGAGGATGACGGTGAACCCAAGAAAACTTATAAGATTCATTCCGCTGAGGATTTCAATAAAATTATAAAAACACCTGTCGCGTTAGAAAAATATTACGGAAAGATGGAAAAAAAAGCATCCAAATTTGAAAGGAAAGATAAGCCGGATGAAGAGGATAGGAAGCATAGGAAGGAAAGCAGAGATATCGCAGCCGAGCTGAAACAGGATGAATCTTGGCCATTCTTCCTCCTCTCTTTCATCAACCTAGCTATTTGTGCCGGCAACAGTTATGGATTGCATATTCTGACAAGGAAGCATCGCCGATACGTCGCCTACTTATCGCTGCTGGAAGGGTACGATGGCGGCGGCTTCGAGTACCAGATTTTCTACGTCATGTTCTCCACGGCAGTCGTGTCGGCCATGGGTTTCTTGATAACGAACGGGAAATTGTTTGGATCGGCGAAAGGATTGCTGCGTTACATGATATACATCTACGTCGGCTGGTCTTCTGCTATGCTTGTCGTGCTCGTTGGCACGCTCGGCGTTACTTACCTGCTAACGTTTGTTACAGAAGATCTCTTCCAGGTTCTAATTTCATTAACCGTTTAATTATGTTTCAATGAAAGATTTTTATAAAAATAAACAAGAAAGATTGCCCATTCATCGTTAAAAGAGGAAATAAATTGAAGGGTTACAGGCAGGCAATGCTGAAGTTCAGCACGAGTCTGACGATACAGAGAGCAATCCACAAGATGCACAACGTTTTCAAATGCTGCGGCTTCCTCAACTACTCGGAGTGGCTCGAGATGACCTGGTCAGATAAAATTTCAAGAATGGATCTGGGTCTTCCGAAGAGTTGCTGCCTACCAGAAGCGGGCAGTCAGTGCGTTCATCTCGTCACTAAACAAGTTCGTTGCAATTTTTCACATATTAATTCCTTAAACTCAATAACATATCTCATTAATAGCTTTGAAATAAGTTAAATAAGTGCACTGCATAAAAACAACTTGTGAAAAAAGAACACGGATAAACTGACTCCTATAAAAGTTGGTTGCAAAGCGAAGTTGACGTCCATCATGTCGAAGTTCCTATGGAGGGTGATCGTGTTTGTCGGAGGGAGCGCCATTGCCATCGTCCTCTGCATCATCGTCTCCATGCTCAGCGTCAAGGTCATCAGGGACATCGACAAATTGATTCTCGAAGAAAAATCTCGCCAGATGGCCATCAAGTGGTTGATGCAGAAGCAGAAGGAAGAGGAGGAGGCCATGAGAGAGAAGGCTGAAAGACAGCGAAGACAATTGGAAGAGTTTAACAGGGCGAAAGCAGCGGCCGCAAAAGCCAGAGCCGACAGAATCGCTGCCCTGAAAATAAAAATGGAGAAAGAAAACCAAAACAAAGCTCTACATGATCAAGTCAAACAGAGTCAAAATATAACGTTGGTTATAATGCTACAATTACTATTAATATTATTTTTAGTTATTGACCATCATAATTAAATTAAACTTAATTACAAAAATTAAATATTTATTAATACAAATTTTAGAAAAACGCAAGAAGCGGAATTGGGACTTTCCACTCTCGCTCCTCGGTCACCGACCGCTGCACCTGGCGATTCCTCGTCCATCACAGCTGGCCTGGAATCCATGCCGGGAATGTCCATCCTTCCCGGAGCATCGAAGTTGTTGGGAGCTCTCAAGAAATTAGGATGATCACGACCATAATGCTATCGTTGTTATTAATGAAATTATAAACCGCTTAATTTATGTTTTGCTAATTTAAGTAATGTGAAGTTACGTACCGTCGAATGGTGACGTTTTTGTTGAAACGCTGACGTCGTAAACATTGTTTTAATTTTATTTTCACACGCTTAGTTTATTAAATTTCTCTCGTTCTCACTGTTGTTTCGGTGTTCCTAAATCGAATAATTAAAAATGGCTCCAATTGAAGTTGCTAAGAAATGGGATGTCGAAGATTTGAGGTCCGGAAAAGTCAAACTGCCCGAGTATTTGAGAACAAAATCAGACGATGAGCAAAGAAAAGAAGATGAAGAAATCGAAAGAATGATAATCGCTGAAGACCAAGCAAAAGCAAAATCGGCTGAAGGACGATTTCAGCAGATGTTTGAAGCGCCAGAAGCTGATGAAGTGAAGTATTGGAGACTGGCATCTTTCATTAACTTTCTCCTGATTGGTTGGACCGGAACTGGAGGAGCCTATATTTTCTATCTTCACTTACAAAACATAAAATATATACAGTTACTTGAAGCTTATGATGGCGGTAACTTAGTGATGGCTGTGATGCTTATATGTTTGATATGTCTGATCGTCTCTATTTACGGACTAATAGTAACTTTGCACGCTGGATTCATGTCGAAAAGGGGGAGGTTGAAGTACGTTTTGTATGCCTACATAGGTTGGGACGGTGCAATTATCATTCTTCTCGTCGCTTCTCTAATCTTCGTTGGTGCAGTTTACTTGCTGTTGCCACATATTCTCAAGGTAATTTTTGACTGTAAAATTAAACGCCAATAATATTACTAATTATATCCTACTTTCCATTTGAAAAAATTTAAGACTGGCTTCCTGGTGCAAATGTTGAAATTCAAAGACGACGTCGACATCCAGAAAGGCGTTCACTTTCTACAGATGGACAACAGATGTTGTGGCAATGATAATTACACAGAATGGTTCTCAATTAAATTTTCAAAGCAAATTACTAAAACTCTTTTGGCATTTCCTAAAAGTTGCTGTAACTACGATAAAGCACCAAAAGATCAATGTGTTCACGTCTCTGAATTCGCTGTAATATTATCATTATAGTTTACATATTTTTACATACATATTCAAATAGAATTACTGCATTATTAGACATTTATATACTACTATATCGCATAATTTTACGTGATTACAATTTCATTAATAGATAAAAATGTAAAAATTCTTTGCAGAACCTTTCAAAATTGACGCCATGGACCCAAGGCTGTCTTCCAATATTGAACGAAATGGTCAGAGAGTCAATTTTATCATGCCTCGCCGTGCTGGGTTTATCATTTCTCGCCAAGTTGGCCGTTATGCTCCTTTGTATGTCCAACATGCAAGCCGTGAGAAATTACGAAGATCTGGTGATGAGAGAGAGAGAAAAGATGATATCGCGAAAAGAGAGAACTGAAAGAGTAGCTAAACGAGCCAAAATTGAGAAACATGGACTTAGTCTTCCTCCACCTCCACTGCAAGAACAGAAAGGGATGTTTGACAGCGTTATGGACAATGCGAAATCTTCAGTAAAGGGCGTTTTTTCATCGGCACCTGCCCCGACAGCAGGTCCACAATAGCAGTCAGGACAAAGAGCACCGGATCAATAGCCCTCCAATATCAGAACCGTCAAATTAAATGCTTGCAGATTTAGATAAAGGGTTATCATTACAACAAATATTAATTATGTATATCTGTAACAATTTATCTTGGTACATTGTAATTACTTACGCTACGTGTGATTTTATATAAAATTTCTCATTATGATTATTGAAATATTATAGAAATACTATGTGATTAATTGAAATATAAATAGTTTAAGCATAATTAAACTAATTTCTAAATGCTTTTTCTCTTTAATTATACACGTTAAAGTAATTTTAATATTAAATAATTCTAATATACGAAGTCATTGGCAATGACAGTTAACGTCCGTAATTACGAGTTAACTTTTAAATTTGCGTTCCTCTTTAAAAAAATGGATGAAAAGTCGCAATCGGTGCCCCAAGAAAATGATAAAACTCTCGCTAACGAAAATGAACCAACTGAGAAATTGGGGTTTTTTCGAGATTTCTTTCAAAAATTTGTCGAAAGAGAAAAACTGTTAGATTTCACAGAACCCAGTACTAAAAATCCTCGAAAACATAAAGAACCGTTTACGTGGCGAATTTTATCTTTTTTCAATTTTTTAATTTTTACCATTTCCTTCATGGCCGGCTCATATTTAGTTGGAATTCATTTCAAAATGGCTCCGTACATGTCCGTTGTTGAAGGTTACGACAGAGGAGGCATGTTTCTTACTGTTTCAGCAGTCAACTACACAACAGGCATGATTGCACTTCTGGGGTTTTGCATGTCAAACTCCACCTTGCACAATCGAAGACACGGAAGTGGTCACATGATGCTCTACATGCACATGCTCTGGGTATTTGGCATGATTCTCATCCTTATTACTACTATTGCCATGTGTCATGGAGCTTATCTTCAGCTAGATGATAATTTTCAGGTATGATTACCAGATATAAATCTAATTCTCTAAATATTTTGTTTTATATACAAGTATATGCTTAAAATTTACTGTTTTATAAAACTGTTATAAATTAGAAATGAGGTTTTTATATATTAAAAACATCAAACCAGGGTGGTTTTTACATGTCAATGCTCAAATATGAAACAGACAAGGCAGTTGCATTGAAAATAGATGATATACAGAAGGATTTCAAGTGCTGTGGAAATATGGGACCAGATGAATGGTTCAAAATATCATGGGATGACATGATCCCAGACGATAAGAAGGGAGTACCTAAGAGTTGTTGTGACACAAGTAGGTTCCCTCTTGATGAATGTGTCAGTTTTGAGGACATTACTGTTAGTATATGATATACAATATACATTTTAAAAATAAATAATTAATTTTTATTTTAAAGATTGAAAACACGACAAATGTACTAATTAATTTTAATCTTGATAATTTTATAGGAAAAGGATGGTTTGACAATATTTTATGAGAGTTGCCTTGAGAACATAAAAAGCAGATACAGGCAGGTTCTGAATGTCTGTTTTGCTAGCATGAGTTTTTCATTATCGGTCATGTTGATCTGTTTCGTTCTGGGCATCCTCAACATCAGATGGGTCAAGAACTACCGAAAAATTATTCTCAGAGAAAGATTGAGACATCTTGCCAAAGTGCTTGACTATACCGAAATTGGGCAGAAATTTTTAAATAAACTGCTGTCTAAAGAAGAAAGCGAACTTGAATCTGATGTGCTAGATAAAATATAAAAATCTCGCTTTTTTATATAATACAAAATTCAATTTCGGCTTGTTTTGTTTATTGTTATTTGTAATTATAATTAATTTTTTTGCGAAGATTGTAAATTTTTATTTTATCTTGTTATTTTCAGTTTGTAATGTTTTAGCTAAGGCTGCTAAGGCCTTTTGATACTGTGACGTGTATGGTTTCAATTTTGACTGATTGACTTTAATCTCTTTGATCTTCTCTTTTCCTCCATCCTTTAGCAATCTTTTGAAATATTGGATCTGTATCGTGGCGTGCAAACGTTGGAATGTTAGTTAGTTTTAAGGAGTAATGTCTTGAAATAACAAAATACATAGTAGAAAAATTTAAATGTTATTGAATTTAAAGATAAATCAACCTAACAGCAGCTATGAAAGTCGTACAAATAAAAGTTTCTATATCACAACGTAACTAACTTCTTTCTTTTCTAACAGTGCAATGGCGCTACCTTCCTTCCCTGCTCTCGCTGTCCTACCAATCCTGTTTAAAAGTTTAAATTATTGACTTACTATAGAAACTAATTATTGAAACTAGAAGGTTTACCTGTGAATAATTGTGTAAAATTTATCAATACATCATCTACACTTTATCATTCAATTTTAACCCATCCGACCATTTATACATTCACCTATCTAAGTTTTTTGCCAAACGTGTATTTGTGATGTGTTATTTAAATGTTAAATAATAAGTATAACTAAGCTTTGAAAGACTAAAGCGGTTTTAAGGTGTTGGTTGTTGATAATTGTTTAATTTTTTCACCCATCAGACCTGTGTATGTAAGTTTTAAGGGACGTTGCTACATCGTAGGAAACGACGCAGTCTACGGCTTCCAGATCCAATCCTCTGGACATTGCGTCGGAACATACCATCCTTAATTGACAGTGATGACGAAGTTAAGTTTACAACATGTTTTAATTAAAATGTTTAACTACAAGTTAAAAGTATATATTATTAATTCTAAAAAATTGGATAATAATTATGAAATGTTTCAAAAAATTTAGGGATTAACGTACATGTATGACTTTATATTTTGATAACAAACATTGCATCAGATTTTGCCATGTACGTACGGATGTGTAAATTTTACACAGTAAATTATATACAGATATGAATTTAAAATTACCTAAATAAACATTGAAATGGCAAAGAATCTAGAAAAACGTGCGTACAAATTAAGTTTCCCAGTATTGAATTGTTTGACAACTCTGTCTCTCTTTGAGATGTGAAGATTTGATGAAAACTCACAGGCTTTAACTTCCATCAGCTTCATCAGAGAACACAGTCTGGGTGAGAAATTATTTTAGTAAATTTACATGAAAATTTTTGTAATTTTTTTTGGGGTTTCAGAAAGTCGGTTTGATTATAAATGTGTTACAAATGAACCGAGTTTCTATAACTAGTAGTAAATTTATGGTTTTTATTAAAGGTACCTATTTGTTGATTGTACAGAATTAGAGAAACATAGGATGGACTTGAATGGCATTGTCTTCAGGATGTGCAGGAGAACTAGTGGTTTTCTTGATTTGTCTACCTCCACAAAATTTTCCTACATTAAATAAACGTTACTCTATGTAAGTCTCAAATATTTTTTTAAAATTTCATGAAGAAACGCTTATTTTCAATAAAAATGACGTTTAATTGAGAAAATGAATGTTACCTTCAAACCAACAGGTGTAACATATTTGCCAAGGTACAAATTCTTTGAATTTTTCTCACTGTTAACTAAAAAAATATGAACATTTTATGTATGGATTATAAAGAACAATGATATACGACAAATGATGTTTATGCAAGGTACAAAATGATAATAACCCTAAATATTTCAATAAAAAATTATTATGCAACTATGTATGCACCTGTATCTAATTCTTTGCCTTCAACTACATCAATTTTTAATTTTTTTGTTCCATTTTTCTCTTCATCCTTGTTGTCCTCTTTTTCATCATCACTATCTTCACAATCAGACCTTACTCTCTTCAAATTGCTCTTATCTCTCTTGGCCACAGATGTAAAAAGTTTAGGGTTGTACAGTTTCATAAGTTGTAACTTTTCAGGGTTGTGAGAAAGTGTGGCCGAGAATAAAAGCTTTTGAAGTTGTATTCGCGGTCTTTGGATACTATTTACCGTTGCTATGGTTTCATGTGTTAGTGATGATTGTAATAAGGAGAGACTGTTATCATTTAATAATGATGCTAATGATGATTTATTTTCTTCATCATTTAGCAGGGGTGATAGCGACAAAGATGGAAAATCTAGAATCAATGACGATAGTGATAATTTTGACTGGTTTCTCAGTAAGGCAAATTGATACGGTCTTTGGTCATTTGAATTCTGAGTGATCTGATTGGCTGATTGAAAGACTGCCCTCTCAACGTGGCTCAACCAATCCTGCTTCACTTCTTCCATCATCCTATCAGCTTCATCAACAACCTGCAAAGTTTGCAAAAATTAACATAAAACATTACAATCAAAACAAAACAATTAATACAAATTATGATCATAATTAGTAGTAACTACCGACCAAGAACCTGAGCTGTGATAGGTTGAAATGTGGAGATGAATGTATGTGATCGACCAATCTCCCAGGTGTGCATACAAGAATGTCAACTTTGCTCGTCGGTCCGTAGGCACTGTTATGTTAGAGGGGTAGATGGGAATGAAAATATAAGTAATAGATACAGATGAATTGCTGATACTTACATATGTGGTTATAGAGATAAGTAATAATGTTTACACAAATTTCATTGAGCCATTAAAAACAATGTTCTACCCTTTGAAATCAATGATGGATAACTGCTCAGCTGAAAATGATTTCAGACCATTAGCTACTCCAACCTAACAAATTTACAATTTTTTAAAAGTAAAAATAATTTAATGAGATAATTAAATTAAAATGTTGAATATTATAATTACATATATTTATTTTAGTTTGAGAAAGAGAAAAAATTATCCTTAGTTAGTCATACCTTCAGATTTGTATTTTTAGTGAATGTCTTGAAAACTTTATAAACTTGGCTGGCCAACTCGACCACAGGCACCACCACCAAGCATCGTAGTGCTCTAAAGGTGCTATATTTCAATATCTGTTAATAATTTCTCAAATTTATTTCCTAGTATTCAAGAAAATGTTTCAAATTTATTTTTCCTTTTTATCAAAATACAATTTAAGATATTTTAAAATAAGGTTTGATAATATCTCTAGACATTGATTTATTTTTATTAAAAAAATATTGAAAAAAAAATCGACCTGCACGATGGGTATGACAAATGCCAGAGTTTTCCCACTGCCTGTGGGGGCGGAGCAACAGATGTCACTCAAAGGTACTCCACCAATGGGAAACTGCCATGTCATTTCATTTGCATTCTCAAGCAATTCTGTAATGATCTGCTTCTGAACTGGCATAAATAAATTCATAAAATTGTACCATCATTAAACTTAATCCAATGTTAACTTTAAATAACATTTATGTAAAAAATAATATTATTATAATAAAAAAGTAGAAACAAGAGACCTGGAAAAAATGATTCGATTTGACTTTCTTTCAGTGTTAATATGATCTCCGGATCTAGAAGATGTTTCATTTCATCGCATGCTACTTTGCCCTCTTTTACATCAGATGACACTACATTTGGAACTTTCAACCAGTGGGGTAGATTTCTGGACACCTTTGAAATATTACAATTATTTATTTTTTAAAATTTGAGTTCCAAAGTTAAAAACTTAAAAAAAATGATGATCTACTAAAATAAATCAAATGCCAATGATGACAATTTCCTTTTTTTAACGTTCTATTTAGTTAATAATTAAGACTTGAAATTTTGGATCCACTGTTCTACTATTATAGTATTATACAAAGCTGAAAATTATATGATATAGTTGTCAATTTCAGACAATCTACCAGACAGCTAAATCATTACGTGATGCAAATTCTAAAATTAAAGTAAAATATTGACAGTTTGAACTTACATTTGCTTTTTTATCAGATTTGACACCTTTGAAAATGTTGAAGTTTCCGGCTTCTATTACATTTTCTTCATCAACCGTATCGGATATATTCGCATTAATTTTGCGTTCATTTTTCGATTTATTTTTTGAAGTTTTTTTCTCTACGCAATCAGACATTTTAAAGTTTATTTGCCGAAAAATTGTTTATAATTATACTAACGATATTAAACAACACACATGCAGCATAGAGTTTCTATAATTTTTATTAGAGCAAAGAACAAAATAGTAAGCTATTTAATATGGCAAAATATAAATCTACCGTATTCAATGTTTGTCTTTCTCTATGAAACAGACAGCAATCTGATGAATGTTATTAAAAATGAAAAATGACACTGAACTGGGATAGCATGGCAAGTACACTTGAAAAATAGATAATATGAATTTTGATTTAACAACACTTAGTCAGTATTTAATCACTTTTTATCTTAAAATGCCCATGTACTCATCAAATATTTATAATTTCCAACACCAAGACTACAATGAACCCAGAGAGACTACCAAACCAGAGAATACCAAAGTTACCCTTAGCGATGGCGCCAGAAACAACCATATATTTGGACGGAGGGGTACCAATCTCATATCCCGGATCAATTGTAAAGTTGAAGGCCAGTGACGTATTTAGGGATGACGTCATGTGGAAGATTTTTTGGTCGATTGAGATATAGTATTGCTTGGCCGTCGGTTGGCTAAAACCATACACATTGAGTGGAAAGTTCATCCAGATACCTTCACTTGCTTTCTCCATGTACTGTTTTGATTGTAAGAAGTTAGATGATGTAAAAAATGAATTAACAAAACCGGTGTAGAGTAGAATTACATTATTAATCATAAAATAATTATAAAACGTCAAAATATTATTAAATAAATAATTAAATGTAGCACACATACTTAGGTATAGCATAAAATATGAGAGCTTACCGATTTATTGAAAGCTACGTAAGCACTGTCGAATCCCAACTTGTACTGATTGTTCTTACTGTCACTGATCACTTTATCTGGCTGGATGGTCAGTTCGAAATTTACATCAAGATAACTTTGGAGACAAGATGATGATGATGATGAGGAAGAGCTATTGTTGCACCAGAACCAATTTTTGAGTGTGATGTCGACGAAAAGTGCGCCTAAAATGATGAGAAATGTATTTCACGATTACTTGATTTTATCATTTCAGCGAAATTACTATTTGTCATAAAAAAAGATAATCAAATTTGTATTAAAATTATAGAGTACAAGTCGGAAGGAAACAAACTTTTTTGATCTCCTGAGATTATCGGGCAGATCATCATCTCAATGTACGTATCAGTGCCTGTGATGAAACACGAATCAAACCTGCTGCAGTTCGAGGCAACCTGGCCAACAAACTTGTAACTGCAGTTGCTCAACACAAACAACTGCTGCCCGATGAAACTATTCTTGATTGAGTCGTTGTTGAATTGTTGGAGCGACAACAGCCTCGCAAAAATCGTCCCACTCTGGAGTGGCAATGACGGATCAGTAGTAGTTGTTGTAGTTGTCGCCGTTGTAGTCGTTGCTGTTGTAGACGCGTTGGTCGCTGCTTGATTTCCTGGAGTTGTAGTCGTAGTGGTAGTAGCAGTGGTTGTAGAAGTTGGAGGAAGTATTCTGTTGATGATGAGAGTGCCTGTTACGGTATCGAGCGACGCGTTCAGACCGAACGAACCCTTGATGACGCTGCTGACCGGCTGAACTGCCTGTCCGGCTGTTAGACCGACCACCTCCAACAACATGAACACCACACAACATTTCATTACGCTCACAACTGCCTTCGACGGCATTCTTCTTTCAAGAATCATCAAATCGTTCAAACAATATAAATTTATTTCACAAGAAATTCTCATTTGAACATCGCAAGGAGATGCCTTACGATTTCTTCGTCCGATGCACTTGTACGTTTCATTCATCCATGCAACCAACCAACCATCCCTATAAGTATATATATATATATATATAAGTATATAAATAAGTATATAAATATATATATATACACTCATACGTCCTTCCAACACATGTGTATATATAAACACACATATACATACATATATATTTCATGTACAATACACAGAATATAGACAGACAGACACATACACACACAAACAGACATATGCACATAGACTTAGCTTCTTCAAACAACGACAGCAACAAACAAACAAAGGTAACTATCAACAACGAATCAATATCTCCATAGTTACCTGGATCAACACATGCTATTTATTTTTCCGCCTCTCTCACACTTTCTTTTTCAATCTCTCTCTCTCTTTCTTTCTTGCTCTTGGTAGGTTTGCGCTTTAATATCTTGTGGCTTCACGAGAGATGATGAAATGGACGGGAGGGGAGAAAGAATGAAATCATGCTTCAAGTTAAATGAATAAAGGAATAAAATAAAGGAAAGAAGGATAAGATAGTTTGCTTGAGAAATAGATAGATGGAAAGAAACAAAAACTGAGAGAGAGAGAGAGAGAGAGAAACATACAAGAATAGAGAGAAACGTATAAGAATAGAGAGAAACGTACAAGAATTAGTCAGCTGTAGAAAGATCCTACCTGTTTTAGCACGAGGAACAAGACACGTGGCGTTCAATCCTACAGAGTGCATGCAGAAACAAATACACACGCGCACACACACACGCGCACACACATAAACACGCATACACAAACTAACACGTGCATGTGTAGGTATATTTAACTTACATACAAAACAGCATCAACAGTTATGCAAACAGACACTCGCATACCTGCTTCTCAAATGGAAAAGTTCCAAAAACACCAGGGAACGTGAATTCAATTTAACCGATTGATTGTAACTAAAATAAGAGGCAATCAAAGAGGCAGCACCTTACTAATTTCAAAACTTCTTCTACTGTTAACCCATTTGTTTATATTATGGACGAGTCAAATACGAAATATTTTGAAAAATATATAAAAAAAATTATGAAGCCAGGAAAATTATCAGCTATAAATTGAACGAGAAGAAAACAGGAACAAAATTAATTCAACTGTTCTAAAGAAATGTATTTAAACAGATGCAAAAACGATAAGCCAATAATGTAAAACTATACAAATTATTTGATCCTAAGACGGAACCAAATGAAACAACCGCCATTCCATAGCCAGGCATATCAGCCATAGAAACGAACCAACAACTCGAACACGACCCCACTACCTTCTGAATACGACGCCACGTTCAAGCGACAATGATATAGAACGGGCTGCCGGGGATATCCTCCTTGCCCCACCGCACATTCATCACGTGATCTCCCTTCTCATCGGCTACGAAGGTTCCCTGGAAAAGGCCAGGTTTCTGTTTCTTAACGTTCAACTCTCTGACGGGCTTGCCGCTACTGGACATGATGCTAACACCCAACAACCCCTGTCCAGCTTCTTTCACGTCCAGTTTGAAATTCGCGGTTCTACCTACGAATCCCTTCTTCAGTCCCACTCCTTCTGCAATGACCTTGGAGGCGTCACCTTGGAAGGCACGACTTTTCGATCCGGGCTTCTTCTCGACGGTATCTATGACGATGTTTGAAATCTCCACTGTGTCCGGTTTCTTACTTCGCGCGTGCCCAGTCACGTTGACCAGAAATGGCGAGCCGGGAATGCTCACGTGACAGAATTTGATGGAGATGACGTAGTTGCCCTGGTATCGAGGGGTGTAGGAGTATTCGTAGCCATCCTCGATCTCCGTGCAGTTAATCGGAACCTTGGCGGGCCCCTCTATGCTGACCAGTAACTTACCACTGCCACAGTTCACAGTCACCACGTCAAAGTTGCATTGCTTCCCTGTGTGTGCGTGTGTGCGCGCGCGTGTGTGTTGTTGTTTAGCTGTTTATCCATATTATTAATCTTATTGTAACGGCTGATTTTATGGCGAGGTTGTTGCGATTGTTGTCACGAAAGTTTTTGAAAGTTGATCTTAAAAATCTTAGAAATAGAATGTGAAACTGACCAACTTCCCCCTTCTCAAGGCCCTTACCCCTCGTTGTGACCAACGAAGGTTCGGCCCCAAGTTTGCCCACCAAAACAGCAAACGGACTTCCGGTGACGTGTGTCCCGTTCAGGGTGATCTCGACGTAGTAGACGCCATTTTCTTTCGGCACGAAACTGCAACTGTAGATGTCTTTCTCGGCAGACTGCATCAGCACATCTCCGCGAATGCCTGGCCGCCATTGCAATAATAATTATAATAATAAAAATAATAATAATAAAATAATAATAATAATAATAATATCAAGAAACAACAATGATAATAAAATGTGGAGTATAGAGCAACAAGAGGACCGACCTGACGGACTCAACGTTTTGATGATGAGTGACCCTGGTGCTCCGTTCGTATGCACTTCAAACGTCGCTGCCCTTTCAACCTGCTCATAAAAACAACAACAAAAATAATTATAATAACAACAAAAATAATTATAATAACAACAAAAATAATTATAATAACAACAACAATAATAATAATTATTTTTATTATAGTAATTTTCGCACCTCAACGCCCCTATCTCTCATGGCATGCACTGTAACTAATTTGGCCTCCTTGCACTCGTCATCAACGACGATTTTCATCGGAGACGAGCAGACGTGGAAATTATCGAATTTAATTCCGAGACCGTATTCACCGGGTTTCGATACCGAGTACCAGCCTATCACGAAACCGCTACCGGTATTCGTTAGGTTCAGTTCGGGTTTCGACGGACCGTCCATGGCCACGCTCAGCAAGCCTGGTCCGGCTTCATGGACGTATATGTTGAAGTAATCTGTCGGGGGGATTATGACGATGACGTTGATGATGACGATTACTATTATTACATTATTACTATCACTGACTTCTTTTCTGTGTGACACCTCTCTGCAGCGTCAGACCAGAACAGTGCACCTTATGCAGGCCTAACGTCGGCAACTTGCCCACTGTGTACTGCACGGGACTGCCTGATTGGATGGTCCATTATTTTGAATGATTAATTAGCTACTTATTTAATTATTTATTGATTAATTAATTAATTTATTTATTTATTCATCTATCCATCTCGCGAACGAACCAGGCACGTGTATTCCGTGCTTTTTAATGTTGATAACGTTGAGACCGACCTCCAAGCACTTGAACTTGATTTCATGCATGGAGTTTGGATGGTCTCTGATCTCGCACAACTCATTCAATCCGCCTGGCGACTGTATGTTCGCCTCCATTTCCAACGAATTCAATCCTGATAATAACCAACAAACAATTAGACAGACAGACAGAGAGAGAGACGGACAAACAGACAGACAGACAGATAGAAACAGACAGACCAGGCAATGCCAGCATAAGACTCGCATCGTGACCAGTCTGAACGACATCCGACATGGAGACGTGCTTCTGAATGACTGTTCGAAGTTTGCCACTGGACTGCCCACCTATCTCCAACAAGAAGGGTGTGCCTGAAGGGTTAGGGTTAGTAACTGATCTAAAATTTCAAGCCTCACATCACATGGAACCGATAGTAGACTGAAGAAGCGCTGCAACGGTTGAAAAGGCAGTGATGTAACAACTTTTACCTGGTACCGGCTCATCGTTGAAGAGGATGTACATCTGATAGGCTCCAGGTTCGTGCGGTTTGTATTCGATCAAGTGGTTCTTCGGAGAATCGGACTTCGATCGGAACTCGGTACAATGGCTGCCTTCGATTGAAAGGTAAAGTTCCCCGTAACCTGTGGTAGGTGTTGTGTTGAAAATCAATATTTTATTTTGCAACACAAATACAAGCTGAGATGAAAAAATTTCAACGAGCCCAACCAACTGACCTGCATTTGAGCAGTCAATCTTTATATCGTTCCACACGCCTGCCTGACCCTGCCTCAATCGACCCTGAACTTTAACCTTATTGGCGTGACCCACTTCGGAGATCTTGATGCTGATTGGCGAGGACGGATGAGGGGCGGAGTTTTGTTGCACGTGAACTTGGTATGTGCCGATCGCTTTTGGCTGGAATGTAGCCAGAGCTGAAGACGATGACGAGGAAGATGATGATGATAGTGGAAATAATGATGGCAAAGATGGAAATGAAAAGGAAGATCATGATCATAACGACAAGTACAAAAATGGCAAGCAAATCCGACCTAGATTTCCATTTTCGAGAATGGTGAGTTGGCACTGTTCGTTGCTGTTGTCAGGACTGGTCAGTACGGCGCTTATGTCTTTCAAATCTTTCGCCTCCACATTCAAATCGTACTCGCTGGATGCGTGGATGGTCAGGTAACTCTTTTTTCGACCTTCACCTTCGAGCAGTAAAATTATTTCATCCAATCAACACTCAGGGTCCGACAATGTAATATAGAAATAACTCATTGGCGGCATCTTCATCAACTCTCACCATCCATACAATAATAACAACATCAGCCCCAACTACAAACGAAGCAACAACGACAACGAAAGAGCAGCAACAGCAGCAGCAGCAGCAGTAGGACAACCTGCCACTTTAACGGTGAATGGACTGCCGAGCACATGCTCCTTCTTGTACGTGACGCACAGGCTGTACTCTCCCGGACAGAATGCCACGTACTCCACCCTGAGAACCCTGTCCTGAGTCTCCAACGCCCTCGCTCGAATGTCCACAGCGCTAGGCCCGTCCATGTTTATATTTAGCTGATCTATTTTTAGAAAACGTTGTCATTACGTAAGCACTTCCGTTACTAAAAACTATTTACATCGCTTGTTAATAACATCAAGGATGATAATGCAAACAACAACAAAAACCACAACATATGTAAGCAGGCTTACCATAATTAACATAATAATAACTGACCAGGGCTACAAGAAAAGGGCAGGGTTATAAAAAATTCTTGGGTTTTTCCACAGAGGGCAGACGAAACTCCTTGACCGAAGACCGTTAATATTTCCTTTTGATCTTCGTCCAATGGACACACGTTCACTTTTATTGGAGACCCTGAAGATGATAATGATGAGGACGATGATGATAAGGACGATGATGATGAGGACGATGATGATGATGACGACCTTCAACTTGACAATCATTCAACGACATGGTCATCTCATAGGAACCGCCCTCATTGGCCAGTTGTTTCAACGTCACTGACCCATCAGCCTTAACCAATAAGCATTCGGGCAACGTGTGCATCGCTATCTCTGGTCACCTATAATTTTATAAAATAATTTATTGATTAATTATGATATTTATTAATAATTAAAAAAAATTGAATCAAATTAAATCTTTAGAAGAATAGAATGAGAGGATTAAGTAACAATTAGAATGTTAAACGGCCCTTCTGTTATCATGAATGATTTATCTACTGGTTAATTTAGAATAAAATAGTTAAGCGATAATAAATGGAATTCGAACGATCTTTAAACGTTTATCATTTGTCCCAGAGTAGCAACATCAACACCAACAATAATGACAACAACAGCTATGGCAACAACAACAAAACCAACGACATCAACAAAATCACATCGGTAATAATAGAAACATTAACAACAACAACAGCAGCAACAACAGTATAAACAACAACAAAGGCAACAAACATACCTATTTCTAAAGCTGCAATCCTTAAAATAAAAAAAAACAAATAAATGAATGAATGAATGAATATTAAAAAGATAAATTCAAAATTGTTGGAAAAATAACGGTACGAAACCGAAGTATCAATAATAACTCATTTACTAGAATATGCCGGAAGGTTTCTTTTTGGAGATGCATACACACACACATACATACACACACACATACATACACACACACATATAAATATACACATATATACATATATAAATACACAAACACAACATACTTGCCTATGCTCATAAATAAATACACCAGAAAAGGTATATATATAAATGTATTGAACATCGAGTCATATCTTAGTCTTCCTACATACATACACACACACACACACACACACACACACACACACACACATACATACATACAAACACACACACACACACACACACACATACATACATACAAAACACACGCATATACCCCTCACATTTTTCACCTTATTTTTCTCAACACTTACAGCGTTCATTAAAGTCTTTGATGTCTATATTTGGTCTTAAAATTAAGCAAACAATGTATGTATGTGTCTGCCTGTGTGTGTATGCATGTATGTGTATAGATGTATGTACCTATTTAATTCTAAAATATTTAAGAAAAAAACACCTTATGTTCAATGTAATCAGTTTTTTCATCGAAATTAACTCAACCGGACAAATGCTATATCAATCTATCTATCTATCTATCTATCTATCTATCTATCTATCTATCTATCTATCTATCTATCTATCTATCTATCTATCTATCTATCTATCTATCCATTCCTCCATCAATCTATTTGAAAATGGTGATGACGACGACGACGACGATAAATTTTTGAGGAGCAAGAATGAATGTATAAACGAATGATTGATTGACAGCACGTGCCGTTCCAATAGTATGTATGTTTGTTTGTGTTTCAAATTTTGTAGCTTTTCCATACACGCATTTCATACATACATACATACATACATATAGATACATACATACATATAGATACATACCTACCTACCCACAGTCTTGTTTCAGATATTTTGTTCTCATTTTTCTGACTTTTACCATCACATAATTTTTGATTTATTAATGAAAAAAACTTCCTCATCATCGTCATCATCCTCACTCTTATCACCATCACCATCAGAATGCATTTTTCCTTTGTTTAACTAATGTAATGATGAACATACATAAGTATGTATGTATCTATACGTGTATTTATGGATGCGTGTATGTATGTCTATATATCTGTATGTATGTGTGTGCGTGTGTGTTTGTATGTGTGTACGTACGTACGCTCGCAATTTTAAATAATCAAAAATGGAGAATATTTAAGATGAACAACAATGCATTTACACACTTCAGCTATCAATCCATTATAAAAAAACGAATAAATGAATGAATGAATGAAACAGTGATTGATTAATTGAATGAATAAATGAATGAATGATCGAAAAACTACAAACTAATAATCAACTTCAAAATTTACAACATTCAAAATGATGCGAAAATTTAAAACAGGAAAAAAGTTAAATTCATTTTTTGCTTGCACGATGTTAAAACCATTTAGAAATAACGTAAACACACGTACATACACACACACACACAAAAACACACACACACACAAAAACACACACACACACACGAATAGTTTCCTATGTATAGCAATAACCTATTACAGCAAAAAGACAAGCAAAAATGACTAACTTGTAAATAAATAACATATATAAGTATATATATATATATATAAGTATATATATATATATATATATATATATATATATATATAATGGTGAAGCATTGTACTCTCTCTCTCCCTACACACATATATATATACACCACACACGTACACATATATACATAAACATAAATTATGATAACGATCATTGTTTGATAATTTAAAAATAAGAAGTTACTTACGTAGAAAAAGAGCATGCGAAAAAAAAGAGAGTGTACATAGAATAAGGACAAACAGAGAAAGAGTAATAATAATAATAATAATAATAATTCGTTGAAGTAACATAATAATAAATTGAACAGCCCAGATCAGTGGTATCATCATCATCATTATTATTATCACTGTTATTCGATGAAAACACTCTCTTTTGACTATAATACATGAGGAAGGTGAAAGTACTCATGGTAAAATAGATCACCCACACACACACACACACACACATATACACACACACATCTCATTTCTTGATCTCCTTTCCGAGAACATTTTCAAACAGGACAGCCCTATTTTGCCCCCTTTTCTTGACCCAGTGCCCGTAAATTTTGAAAGCCCCGGAATCGATTAATTTTCGGAAGTCACGAACTGCGTAGGGATTCTCGCGAACTCGGCTGATGCTGATCGTCGGTTGGGCTCTGTGAGATATCTGCAGGTAACGAGAGGCTATCATCACATACACCCATCCCTGTTTTTGGGGTGACGTCATTTTGTGTTGTTTTCAAACAATATTATTTGATCTTATTGAGAAGAAACAAAAAATGAAAATCCAGAAAATAAGAGTTATGAAAATTTTTCTTAAAACCAAGAGGCAAACTTTGAATTTTCTTTTTGGGTCGAATCCTTCTCTCATTTTCTGCGCACGAAAATAAAATATGAATAGAAAATAAGAAATGATTAGACTATAACAATATTTTTTACAATGATGATTAAACTAAACAAAAATTAAAAAATGCAACTTACATCTTTCCTAGCAAGAAACGGATGTTGAAGAGCCTCTTTGGCGGTTAGTCGTTCCTTGGGGTCCACCACTAGCAGCTTCTTGATCTGAATTAGGTAGATTAGTGAAATAAATCTCACTCTCAACATACAGAATGATACACTAGCAGAAATTGAACTATAACGGATGAATTTTTCAAAATAATAAACGCTAAACAGAGGCTAACTACCAGGTCAATGGCAGTCTCGCTGATGTCCTGAAAATCAGCAGTTGAGACGGAATACTTCCCCTCCATTATCATCCTCAACATGCGCAACTCGTTCCTGTGATAAAATGGAGGACTGCCAACCAGCAGAGAGTACATGATGACACCGGCCGCCCACCTGAATGCGAATTTTTTCCCAACAAAATTAACTCACCAAGCGACATTTCATTTGTATACTTTTAAAGGACCATTCATTCACACTTGAAATAAAAAGATGCTATTGTGTATGAGGTTAATGAAAAAGAATAAAAAGAAAAAATATGGCCAACATGTCTGCTGGTCTTCCATAGCCAGGAACATTTGGGTACATGGACCTTTTTATGCTTTCTGGTGACATGTAACCAGGTGTGCCAAACAGCTCTGGTGATTTTCAAAATTTAAATAAAAAATTAAAATATTCTACATTTTTTTTACAAAACATTTAACTATTTTGGATAAATAATTTATTGAAAAAAGTAGAAAAATGAATAGCGAACTGAATAGTAGAAATTCAACATTCCCTCATTCATTCATTCCAACCCCCAGTATCGATGTCCTCATCGTGTGCAACTATGACGGCAAATCCAAAATCACTCAACTTGATGTTGAAGTTGTCATCTAACAAGATATTCTCAGGCTGGCGCGCATAATTTTAAATATTAAATTACAAACAAAAACATAAAAGATCACAATTATAATTAATTATAATTATATATATATATATCATAATAAATTGATAGATCCTGGCCTATAGAATCTACATACACTGTTAGCTGTTGATGACACCTCAAAATAAAAATTCAAGTATCCAACAATTCATCTGGTTGTAATAATAATTATCTTAAAAAACAATTTAAATATAATTATGTATAAAATTATGTATAATTATCTCTGGGAGGAATAGTGAGCTTTTTCTACCTTAAGATCCCTGTGAACTATCATCTTCGAGTGGATGAATGCAATCACCTCCATCAACTGCCGCATTATTTGCCTGCAATTATTTCCACTAGAAATTATAGTAGGAATTGTTTTAATAACTAAATTAGCCATATAAATTAAACGATATATAAAGTTATATCAATTTTAATAATTATTATAGCAGAGATAATTATTATTAAATAATTAAATTAAAATTATACCGGGTTCTCTTTTCTGAGAGAGTGACAACTTCTGTCATATAATCAAAGAGCTCACCTTTCTTGCAGCTTCAATTGAAAATTGTAGAAAAATTTTTAAACAAATTCAATTGAAATATAAAATTGATAATTAACAGTTAGATGTGATTAATATTATTATGTGATTTATTTAAACGAAATTATTTCAGAAATAAGATAAGAAGCACGACTCACAGCTCGAACACGAGGAACATGAATGTCTCACTTTCAAATGAGTCATGAAGCTCAACTAGTTTTAATTATATTTTTAAAAATTTTAATAAATAAATATTATAATTATTTCATAAAATCATTAAATAATATTAATTAATTATTTATTCATTTAAAAGTGAAGTTTGTTAAATTTAAAGTAGAATCAATTATGAAAAGCGAACTGATGTTAGGATGTTGAGCACAGAGTCTAAGTATTTGAATTTCTTTTAATGTTTCAAGCCTCTGGTTTTCCATAATAAGACTGCCATCACCTTCGTTAGTGATGTCAATGATTTTTACTGCGAACTCCTTGTGAGTCGACTTTTCTACACATCTCCTAACTACGCTGCTGGCCCCCCTACAAATTTATTATTCATTTTACTAGTAAATATTAATTATTTATTAATTAAAATAAAAAAGAAAGATAAATTAAAAAAAGTTATAAATAATACTAGTAAGTAATACTGTAATAGTAACTAAAAAAGTTGAGATAGCATCTTTGACTAAAAAAGTTAAATCAAGAATAAGGAAAGAAAGAAAAAAGAAGAGAAAAAAAGACGAGAGGGGATCTTCACTAACTTTCCTAAAATTTCCTTGGCGTCATATTTGGCGTAAAAGTCCTTGGCGAAATCTAAGTCTGGAAGCGGGTCCTCATCATCAGGCAGCAAAACCATCTTATTTTCGGTTGAGGTTCGTTGCAAGAAAATATTTGAAAATTGAGAAAGATCAAAATATTAAATTATTTGTTGCACTAATTTTTTTATTTTTCACGTTTTTCGGCAAATGTTTTGGAATTTAGAAAGATAAAAGCGGAACTTTTAGACAAACCACCCAAAGCTTAAAAATATAAAAAAAGATATTTGTTTAAAAGTTAATTTCGCAATGACCTTCGAACATAACAAATTAAGAGGTGCTGAATTTTTATTAATTAGCAGATTATTATCGTTAAAAAGTCCGAATTGTACTTATGATGAATCATTTATACCAAAACAATAGTAAATATTATCATGCATAAAACATCTAATTATACAGACGTTTCTGTATGTAAATTCGAACTATGGTACGTAGTTCATAATAATAATTGTTGGGTAAAATCATAATTTTTTATATTTTCATTCATAGATACATAATAACATATATATGACATGTAAATTCTACATATTTGTTTCAATTAAAACTCAAAAAAATACCACATCAAGTGATCTCAAACTTAAAACCAAAGTTCATAATTAATGTAAAATGATTTCGATTCAAATCGTTTTCAAAATTATTTAAAATAACGAAATCACCTGTATTTCTTCACATATTTTTGCATCACGCACACACCACACAAACACGCACACGCAAAAAAACACACACACACCACATGGGAATTGGTAATACTTAATTTTTGGGAATGGGAGTTTT